ATCTAACTGCTCATTTCAAATCAATACTTTTACTTTTAATACTTAAGTACAAAAATATCAGATATTTTAAGACTTTTACTCAAGTAATATTCCTAAAGGAGACTTTAACTTTTACCAAAGTAAGTTTTTGGTAACATACTTGTACTTTTACTCAAGTAATATTCCTAAAGGAGACTTTAACTTTTACCAAAGTAAATTTTTGGTAAGATACTTTTACTTTTACTCAAGTATCACTTTGTGGTACAACACTGTTTCTGTCATACTTATTCAGTCATACACAGCACTTTTCAGTGTTTATAAGAGGAAGTGCTAAAATCTTGTTTCCATGCAGGAAATACCACGTAGAGCTCAGTTATCATTYGTTAGTGGTGCTCAGCTGTAGCAACAACATGTTGAACGTGACGCTTCTTGTTTAGCCCAAGTTAAATACGAAACGTAGAAATTTATTACAACTGGCCCTTTGAGAGTAACCATAGTATTGATCTGGCCCTCGGTGAAATTGAGTGTGACACCCCTGCCTTAAACAGCGACTCCAAAACTGAAACTCACACAGAAGACTCACCGATGAAAGGACTTGAGTTTAGGCTGCAGGAGCACAAACAGCACCACCAGGAGCAGGATGAGAGCCACCGAGGAAGCTGTGGAAGCAACTATGGACAGAGCTGGCATCCCCAGAGGCAAAGCTAGATTGTGGTCTTTGAGACACAGGAATTGTAAATTATTTCTACTCAACTTTATAATAATGCATCAAATATATCRTCTGATCTACCTTGCTCCATGACACAGCTCAGCTTCACTTGGCTGTCCCACTCCCCATACTGACAGGTAAGGTATTTATAGTCTCCCTTCAGAATATAACCTTCATCGCAGAAATACTCAATCACGGTGCTGTGAGAAAGTCTTCGGCACGGGGAGGGGTGGCATGTGAAACCGCCATTCTCCAGCAGATACGGGGGCTGACATACTGTCCAGGACACAAGAAAACAAACAGAATGTATCACATCAGCAGCAAAACAGATAAAACGGAAATCTTGTTCTTTCAGATAAGAACAAAAGCGCTGTTTRTGTTTAGAGCCTTATAATGATACATACAGCGGGTAAAATAAGTATTGAACACGTCAACATTTTTCTCAGTAAATATATTACTAGAGGTGCTAATGACACGAAATTTTCACCAG